AAGACATCTTGAATAAAGCCCAGTATAGAGAACTTATACTGGGATTAAAGTCTATTCACAAATGTTAAAATAAATAAAACGTTTATACACTTAGAAAATAATACCCACAATCAAAATATTCTAAAATAATACAAAAAAAATTAACCAAATTCACAAACACATTAAAATTTGACACTTTTGACAGATTGAAAGATAAATTGGTTGCATAAGTTTCAGTTTGTTTATATAAAAATGGCGGTCATTTCTATCTTCTTTTATTAAACACTCAGTAAAGATGCGCAGAGGGTTTTACGCCGTATACCTATTTAAGTATGTGGTCTCTATGCCCAAGCAGGCTAGCTCCCCACTTGATGTGCGCGAAGCGCGCGCGCTTTCGTTACTCAGGTAAAATACGCGAATTTAAATGAAACAAAACTTTATATACAGGGTCTACCCATGAAGTTAAAATAAAAATAAAAATTGAAATTTATATCCGGAATAGGCCGAAATATAGTAATGAAAATTGACTTCATTACAGCACTTCCACGTAAGTAGATTCATCCATGCGGAGGTAGTTCCTATAATCATCTGGATGCAATCATAGCTCCTCCAGCAAATTTACATGACTCAGTGAACACCTTTTTTGAAGCCAATCTTTGCACCAAAATCTGCAATTTCTTTTCGTTTTGTTTTTATTTTTTGTTACTCACACAGCAAGACACGCCCAAATCAAATCATTTTGATCCGACATGATTGAAACCGAAAACAATACTGCGGTGCAGTATCGTTTTTTGTCATTGATTATTAATAAATGTAAACTATAAACCTTTAAATGGTTTTGTATTGTTTTATGTTTAGCGGATTTTAATTATGCGTTATTTGTATGTAATGTCTGTGGTAACTAAAAAATGTATGTACCTAACATCAGAAAACCTAGGAGCTTCGGCAACTTCGCATAATGAAATAACTTTTACCTTCGGAACTGCGCGAGTGGAAACGAGTTGCTACGAGGAACCTTTAAATGGGTATGGCCATTTATCTCTCTTAATTTTGATGTTCTTTGTCAACTTTCGCATCTGGGTAATCTGTGATATGACTACAGTAAAAATGTGGTCATCAGAGGTATAAAATGTCAAATGTAAAACTTTTACTTTTTAATTATTATTGTTTGGTTGTGTTTGTAAAATCGAAAGAAAGGCTGGTATAGGGTTGCCAGATTTACGAAGGGGAAAAGTGGGACAACGATGACGAGAGGGAATCAATTATTTAAACCATCAGGTTCCTTTTTCTGAGGAGCTTCTCAAATGAAAATCGGAGAAGAACATACGAGTTTTTTTACATTATTTTCACGTGTATAATATACTCCTAGAGTTTGGTGCGCTCCTCCCGACTCACCCTGTATATAACTTTGAATTCTAAAAGCGTAGTATTTAGGTGAAATGCGGAGCAGTTTCGTACTTTGACGTAACGCGTGCCAGCAAGTTAAAAAGCGGGACCATTACGCCTAAGGCGAGACGTCTGGCAACACTAACTGAGTACCTAGATATGGACACATTTAAGGTTTTTGTAAATGAAAATCCAATTTATTTTCATGATAGCCAAGATTTATTAATGAACATGGCAAAAGGTTTGATAAAATTTCAGAGGCCAAAGCAACTACAACACCAATTTTCTCTTCATCCATGATCAGTACACAAAACAAATATTTATTAAGTCTTCAAAAAAAAAAAGGTTCACAATTCTTATTTGTTAGAAAGGGGGGACTTCAGGGGTGGTCCCATAGATAAATTTGGTTAAAATCTAATTATTGGGTCCATGAGAACATCTTCAAACTCTTCCATTTTTTATGTATGTTCAGCGATAATTCTTTAACACGGTGTCCGATTTCAATCTTTCTTTTTTTGTTAGAAAGAGGGGGTACTTCTGGGGTTCTATATAAATTTGATCAAAATCTAGTAATTGAGTCCATGAGAAAATCCTCAAACTCTTAATTTTTTTATGTATGTTTATCGATAATTCTTTACTATCTTGTCTGATTTATATGATTTTTTTTGTTAGTAAAGTGTTACCTCAAGGGTGGTCCCACATAAATTTGGTCAAGATGTGGCGATGGCATTTGCACGATTTTGAAGTCGGTTTTTAAAATTACTTTTATAACTTGTTTTTTATACCTACAAATTCAAAACCAAATCCTAACTACAATACACAAACAAAAATTCACGATATCTGACAATGTCATGCGCAAGTTAGTGTCAATATAAACAAAACATTTTTAAATCAGATTAATACAACGTCATTATAATGACGTAAGAACCTTGACCACATTTGACTTGGTCACATTTCTAGTAACTGATTTAAAATCGTCTAATAAATATTGAAAAATAAAACACATTACAGTTATAAGTAAATTTCACAAATGACATTAGGATGATAACAATATGGCGCAGGTGATACCGCTTCAGTACACTAGTATCAACTCCTCTCCCTACTACAACCATGTATGTGGTAATCAACTCGTCGTTTTTCACATGACACAGACTTAGACTGCAATACACTCATGGCAACTTCTCTCCCTACTACCTCCATGTTCCAAGTCGAGCAAAAAACCAACTGTCTACTGTTATTATTTTTCTTTTCCGCGTTATCTATGACAGTTCCACTTAAAAGTTATGCCTATAAATATCAATTGTTTATAATTTTTGGAACCAGTCATAGCATCGTAGCCACTTGGAATAATTTTCCATGATGGCTTTCTACTTTTGCCAGCATCTATCTTTTTTGCAGACTTTACTCTAGCATTAAAGTGTTGCTTAAGCTAAGTCAGCTAGTTTTGAGAAACATGCTCTATGGCTTAATATTGAAGCGATTCGCGATTCAAGTTAAGTGATACGCCCTCTGGAGGAAATTCGTAGAAGGTGTCTATAAGTAGGATATTGTTCAGTGTTACCAGGTGTAGCGAAATTTCGCTACGCCCTTGGATTTTTAGGCATTGAATAAGTGGATGACCTTTTTTTTAAATAGCCAAATTTGTGTCTAGTTATATGTAATCATACTCTATATTTATTTAAGGATTTTTTTATAAAACCGATTTATTATATTGATTGTTTTAAATTTAAGTTCATTTATTATTTTTTTTTAATAAGTTCATCATTTGGCAACATATTAGCGTTCCTCTGTTCACTGTTTATATTTTATTTTGTATCAATTATAATTAGAAGTTTTTCTTACCTGTGCCCTTTAAATTTGTTTATTTCTTATAATGTGTTTATATTAAAAATTAAATTTGCGAAAAAGCCTCCAAAAAATTGCAATCTATATGGCGTTAATGTCAAAATCAAAAGTGTTCATTATTTTCCAAGTGTAAGTCGGAAAATTTTGTTTCTTACGATAAATGGATATCTACAAATTCACATTATTGAGATTTTGTAAAATTTTGTTTAGAATCAAACTGCAATCTATATGGTGTTAATGTCAAAATTAAAACTGAAGTATTCATTATTTTCCAAGTGCAAGTCGTAAAATTTTGTTTTTTACGATAAATGGATATCTACAAATTCACAATATTGAAATTTTGCAAAACTTTGTTTAGAATCAAACTGTAATCGGATTTGTGACGGTTTTATTACCATTTACATGTATACAAAGTATTATACAATTCACTTCATAATAAAAGAATAAGGATAGTAAGATTTTAAAATAAGTTCATCAATAATAAACGTTTGGTGCCTGAAATTTGCTTTAAACCACATAATAAATCATGTCTTGGGTTTGGTAAACTAAACTTAAATTAACACTAAATGAAACTCAAAAACACTAGTATAATATAATGAGAATATTATCTAAAAACAGTTAAAAGTCACATAAACAAAATCTTGCCCAAAACAAACACATGTAAATAAACAGACATTCTACTTATAGGTGACAAATAATAGGCTCGCGAAAATTAATTTGAATGGCGAATATCAGCGAATATAAAGTTACTTATCCGATGATCTAATTAACTTAATTTTTTTTGGCTTGCATAAAAATTTTGTTGAAAATTGCTTACAGTAATGATTGGGAAACAAAACAAAAACGAAATGTTCTAATACGATCTTTACTTTTTAAATATTATTCTGTTGTTTTATAAAATAAAGTAGTTTATTTTTGATTTTCTTACAATACCGTTTGTCCCATTTTTCTAATAATTATTTTTTAAATTTCTGATTATTACAGATATCACGTGATGTCATCTCCATCCTTTACCACTTTCCTCTGCAAAAATGCATAATGTCAATTAAAAAAATGCATTTTTGATTTGTGAGAGATTCAATCTGGTTTTATTTACGTTTTTTGCGGCATGATTGCTTTTTGAGTATTTTTTTGGTACTCATTTGAGATCTGAACATAGATAAAGGATATATTTGGTTCAAAATATTTTAAATAAACGGTATTCATTTCTCGATCACAGTACATTAATGGTGCTATTAATTCTGCACTTCTATCTATTTTTAAGGTATTAAGAATCATCTGCAGCAGAAATACGTGTTTTAGATTCAAAACTAATTGTCATATTTACAAACTCGGCTGTATTTTTAACAGAATTGCCATATATGAAATATTTAGTATTATTATTAATCGTATTTTCAGGTGCGACTTTTATGCTATTAGTGACCTGATGGTCAAGCGGTTCACATTGATTCGGTAAGAATTAGATCGCAGGTTCAAATCTTGCCGGTTTTTATAAAAATATTTTTTTTTGTTATCAACTGTGGTTATTTAATAATTTCCTACCTGTTTTTTTATTAGTTTTCGGTGCTCTAACCGGAAAAAATTAAATAATTAATTAAGGACATTATTAGTATTATTAGAAAAAATTCTGAGATCCTAACAACACAAGTCTGTTAATTTTTTCTTCACTACACCTTTTATTGCCTATTCCTAAGGAAGCCATAAACACGCGTTTTTCGCACCCATTTGATGATCCGTCACTGAAAATAACCCTTATATTTTACTATTCTATTAGTTTCTTTATCTTCCAGAATCTGTAGACATCAGTGTATCATATTTCTTAAAAGAAACTGGTGATTTGAAGCCCACAATACCTTTCACGGAGATAATAATGGAATTACACGATATCGATATCGTATATATTCCATCAGCAAATATTGAAGATGAAGACAATTTCTTGGTACTCATGGAAGAATTACTTGATGATATTTATGGAATGGGAGAACATATGAAACGTGCAGATACAGAGGCGAACGACACCGATTTTTATCATTTGGTAATAAAATATTTCCATAATTTTATCGTACTCATTTTCATTTTGACTATGTTCATGTTCAACGACGAAAGACTACTAGACTAATTCATTCATTCATAATTAAGTCCTTATTTAATGCCAATCATTAAGATTATTTTTAAGGACGAAGTTCTAAATTCGTCGGAATATTTTTTTTATGTAGGTATGATTGTTCAGAGATAATTCTTGACCACGTTGTCCGATTTAATTGATTTTTTTTTCTTAAAAAGTGGATACCTTAGGGATGGTCTCATATAAATTTGGACAAGATTTATTAATGGCGACCATAAGAAAATCATCAAACTCTTCATTTATGTAAGTTCAGCGATAATTCTTTAGTAGATAGTCCAATTTTTATGATTCTTTTTTGTTGATCACCCCTGGTCTCATATACATTTAGTCAAGATCTGCTAATTTGGGTGGGGATGGTTTGTGCGAGTTTGTTTATCTGAGGAATGAGCATGCATTTTATAAATAAATCAGTATTTACGTCTATGACGATTACTTTACACTGCTGTTACACTTCAAAATTAATTGGGTAAGTACTTATATGAAAAACACTCCCGACTATAATAGTTGCAATGTGAAAAATGATACTGATAATAACTGGCATCAAGAATGCAAATATACTTTCCTAATGTAATTTTGAAAGCTCTTTGTGCGCTTTAGAGCCTTATGTTAAGTCAATACTGAATTATAACCGTAAACAATCCTTGTAACAAGACTCTTTATACTCTCTTATAATAATTTGACAACTACGTGGATAACATCGTGAATGTTTACAATTCGTTTTTTGTATACAAAATTAGTCTGGTAGTTGTTTGTCGTTGTTCATGTTTATGATGCAGATACTATTACGTCATCATTAATTCTTAAATGTTAAATAGTTAAAATTGATACTAAAACGAACATTCTAAGAATTGAGCAGTGAAAGTTAAATTTAGAAGTAGTTTGACCTGTTCGCGTGCGAAAATCTACTTTAAATTAATACTTAGACAAAATCGAAAGACAAAGAAAAAAGAGTTTGTTGAGCGACGCCAAATTTTACAGAAAAATGCTTAGTTACTTACGTTAATAGCGTAACCATTAGGGTGTTTCATTTTTGAGCAACATTTTTTTTTTCAACTAAAAAACAGGCTTAAAACTTTCAGGAAGGTGAAAAAAGAAGCCTGTAATGAAGTCAATTTTCATTATTATTATTATTATTATTAATAAATTTCGGGTATTAATTTCGATTTTCAATTAATTTTAACTTCGTGGATATGCCCTGTATATCATCAGTTTTATCGCTGTTCAAACCATCGTCGAGGTACTGTGCCTGCGCGCGTTTTAATGGTGGGATTTTCTGATGTGGTAGGGCATGCGACGACTAAACGTGGTCCGAGATTGAATTCAAATTTTTAGTTCCTAATATACCGATTTATCGAATACTTGCTTTTACACCGTCAAATCCAATATTCGATTAAACGCTAAATACCTACGATCCCGAAAATTTATTTCACGCCGCGAGGTAAAGTTTGTTGATAGTTTTTTTTTATAATTTCTTTCGTGCCCGAGTCTTTAAGCCGTGCTATTTGAAACCGATTTAATTTGATTTATTCCGTGTTGAGTTAGGATTTAATTTGTTTTGATTGAAAAATACTTTAATTTATTCTTGTTAGAATACACCGTTCTTTATAAATTTCATTTTAGTTTATTTAAAGTCTTGACCGTTAAACAATTAATTTTTTTATTCAATCGTACATATAGTCTTATAGTTAATTTTTCCTACTACTGAAAATTTCCGTAAATAAATAATAAATTTCATTTTAGTTTATTTAAAGTTTTGAGCGTTAAACAATTTATTTTACATTCGATTGTAAATATAGTCGTATAGTTAATTTTTCCAACTACTGGAAATTTTATGAATAAATTATAAATTTCATTTTAGTTTATTCGAAGGCTTAACCGTTAATTAGTTTATTTATCATTTAATCGTAAATATAGTCTTATAGTCAATTTTTCCTACTGCAAGAAATTTCCGTGAACAAATAATACAGTTTATTAAAAACATTATCCAATAAATAATTGATTGGAACTGTTTGGGAATTGTCTAATGTTTTGATTGGTTATATTTGTAGAATTGCGACGAGGCATTTTCTTTTGTTTTATTCTCCGAACTGCACATTTTAAGAGAATTTAAATAGCATCATTCCTAGTTTGAAGCGGCTCGTGATTACGATCGGTTCATCCAGAGATAAGGTGTTATCCCGGCTATTAGTTCATTCTATATCTAAAAATTCATTTGCGTTAGGTCTCCGTTATTTCAACAGAATTAAAATAGTATCATTCCCCTGTCTAAAGCAGCTCGTGATTACGATCGTCTCATTCAGAGATAATGTGCTATCCCGGTTATTAGATTTTCCGTCTGAAACCCTCATTTGCGTTAGTCTCCGTTATTATAAGTGAACTAAAATAGTATCATTCCCCTGTCTGAAGCGGCTCGTGATTACGATCGCCTCATTCAGAGATAGTGTGCTATCCCGGTTATTAAATTTGTTTTATGTAAAACTCCGTTATTCAATTGACATTAGTATCATTCCCCAGTTTGAAGCGGCTCGTGATTACGATCGGTTCACTCAGGGATAATGTACTATCCCGGTTGTTAGTTGGTTTTACTTTCCAACCACTAGTGAGTAAACCTCTTATAGGGTCCCGGTTTCAGCTCTGGAGTTAGTATTATCCCGAACCTGTCTCCTCGCATTCTCTGCAACCAATATGATATTTTGTTTTACTGAAGCATTCAATTAAATTTGATTGTAAATACCAATTAGAAAATTTAACAGTTGCTTTTTGCTACGACCGAAATAATACTGCCGAATGAAATAGCAAATTGCATTTTTAACTCAACAACAGAATAAACAATTCAATAATAAACTTTTACTGCGACCGTGATAATTATAAGTATTGATTTCATTTTTTTTTCTTTACGTCTGATTGAGACTACTCGAAAGTCATTTCCGTCCGTTTTGTTTATTTATTTTTGTTCAGGGTTTGTACATATTACCGTGAGGGTGGGCGTTGAAATATTTAATTTCTTTTTTTTTATTGTAAATAGTTAACCACAATATATGTGTCAATGTTAACCTGCCGTATTACTGGTTATTAATTCCTAAATTTATTTCCCCCTTATATTTCAGCTAGTGATTAATTCTGTACCAGCCCAAGCAACGATTAAAGCCCGTTACTTGTGGCACCCTATTACCTGTGTCTAAGTGACCTTGACCCTGGAATTTTTCATCTCCATCTGTAGCTACCCGAGTACTTTCGACGCCGTTTCGAAAGTTCGTGGAGTAAACCATCACCAAAAATCTGGCGCTCGAGAACCGCCCGTAACCAGCGTCATTCGTAAGGAATCGTTTTCTCTGTGGCGAGAAAACCCCTTACAAGCTTCTAAAAATTTGAGGTCTTAATATTATCATTTAGTGGTGCTGGTTCCTAACTTTCCATTTTCCATCTATATAACATGGAAAAAAAATTTTTCTTTTTTCTTATTTTTGTAGCTTGACATTTGAGCATTGTAAAAATAAAGTAAAAAATTATTTTGGTAGGAAATTGAACGCTCTACAAAAAGTTTTAATTTATTTTTTTCATAGAGTGAGCCGTTCTGAAGATATTCAAACTTAAAGTTGCAAATGTATGAAATTAGGACTTTTATTTTATTAAACTAATACTGATGACTTTTTTTGTCTTAAAAATTATTTTTAATCTGAAAATTGGTTTTTGTGCGCAAATATTTTTAGAACGCTAAAATAAAAAAAAATACATCTTAGATATTATTTGATTAACTGTTAAACAAAAGTAATTATGAATTAGGTTCAGTAAAATTATTATTTTATTGATTAAAAAAAAACTTTTTAACAATTAGCATTCTAAAATTTTGAAACTAATAGATATTTTAATGTCTTATCAGAATTAAATGATGTAACTATATTTGTTGAAGTTTTTTTATTACAATTTTGATATTTTCGTCGGTGCTCCTTTACCACTTGTAATATTAAAATTGTTCCTCATCTTTAGTTAGGCATCTATTATATTCTTCTACTAATGCGACGCCATGTCCTGCAACGTCATTGACAACTTTCAATTTTCGAAAAACTCCAAATTCTCTTGATAACTTTCATTATCTGGCCAAATTAAGACATCTGCATCCAGAAAGTCGTATGGCAAATCAAATTTGTCAAAAAGTTTTAATGATTGTTTTGAAACAAAGTCACTCATATTTTTGTATAAAAATATTTCTGGTGAATTTTTGTCTTCTGTGCGTCGTTATTTTCTTTCTATATGAAAATAATGATGTTTTCTTGAAAATAATTTTTAAGACATAAGAAATTCATCAGTTTAATAAATAAAAGTCCTAATTTCATACACTTTTAACTTTAAGTTTAAATATCTTCAGAACGGCTCACGCTATGAAAAAAATATATTAGAACTTTTTGTAGAGCGTTCAATTTCCTACCAAAATAATGTTTCACTTTATTTTTACAATGCTTAAATATCAAGCTACAAAAATAAGAAAAAAGAAAAAAAAATTTCATGTTATTTAGATGGAAAATGGAAAGTTAAGAACAGGCACCACTAAATGATAATATTAAGAGCTCAAATTTTTAGAGGCTTCTTTTTTCACCTTCCTGAAAGTTTTTAGCCTGTTTTTTAGTTGAAAAAAAAAAGTTGCCTAAAAATGATACACCCTAGTAACCATACATTCCTGTAGTTTATGAAAATGTATCAGGGTAAGTACCAAAATGTATTGCACAAGCCCGCACATGATAATATAAAGATACTTCCTTTGAGCAATAACACCGTTCAGAGACGAATAGAGACGAGATAAGTTGAGACGTGGAAAACATTTTATGCAATTTCTTACAGACTAAAAGAGTCTCTCTCCAGTTGGACGAGTCTACATTACCCAGCATTGAAGCTCTGTTGTTGGGATATGTTCG